GTTCAGTACAACTGGTGATGATCACGATTCTCACGGGCGCGTCTTTTATCCACCGCGGCGCCATGTTGACGAGAGCGATATTTGTCCCATATGTAGCGACGAACTTCCACCGCTGGGGGAGAATGGTAACGAGGATGCCCGGGAAGCACATATCCGTGAGTGCATCGAGAGCCATGGCCGTGGCACGCGGTCGGCGTCTCGAGGAGGGAGTCCAGTAGCTGCGTCTCCTGTTCCAGTTCGCATGCTTGCATTCACTGCTACGGAGAAGGATTGTCTAGGACAGGATGGTGCCGTGCAAGAATGCACGATTTGTATGGAAGACTACGAGGTCGGTCAGCTGCTGGTACGCCTGGAGTGTCTATGCAAGTTTCACAAGAGGTGCATTGTAGAATGGTTTGAGCGCAAGAAGGAGTGCCCTGTGCACAAGGTGGCTTGAAGATCCGGCAAGTACGCCGCGCATCCTACCTCCACACGACTTTCCCATGTTACGAATTGCAGTCCCGCACCTTTTTGGAGTCGATGCTCTCTGGTATAGCATCGATAACGGTCATCTTACGATTTTTGATACTCAGCAGCATGGCTATCTGGTGGATATTGTCGTTTTCATTTCATAGAGCTAGCGTTTCTTATGTTGAGATGTCAGTTTGGCTTTTGCTTTGAGTGTTTGATTGGAATTGGATGATCAGGCTTTGGCGTTTATGGTTCTGCGGAGACTCCTCTCATATATCCCTATCAAATATTTGCTAGAATATGGATTCATTTTTGGACAATCAGCCGCCAGCTTCCTCTCAAAAATTGGATCACTCAATACGTATTAAATATCGGGATTGAAATAGCAGATAAGCTGGTTTATGGAAGATGCAAGTGATGGTCTTGAACTACCGAGTACATAAAACGTGGAAGAGGCGAAGGTCACTTAGTATGCGTCCCGAGTCGTGACAAATCAACTTCTGATTACCTTGGGCAGACCTGCTCCATCCAACGGCCGTCAAACTAACGTCCTACTACAGGGTCCTTTCCATCAAACGACACTATCTCCTTTTTGCCAATATATTTACCTGCTATAAGCTTGGAGCAAATGCTTAGATTGATACTGCGAAAGGCTGGATCGTGATCTCCATCTCCCGACTAATCCCCACTGATCGGTCATCGGTGGCCCGACTGACCGTTTTCCCGACTATCTGCAAGGGAGCTCGACTCGACACTCCGATTGCAGCTATTATTTATCCGATTCAAATCATCCCAGGTAAGCTGAGTCAATCTCTCTTTGCTCAACGTCCACTGGATGACTCTGAATTTGCGCGCATCATGTCTGAGACAACGATGCAGAGCTACCTGCTGACAATGCCACGGGCATCCGCAGAGTCCGCGCTTGCTTGCACTCGCAGCCCCGCAAGCAATGGACATCGATCCGCGTCTACGTATCGGTCGTGACAAGAATGCTCCGGAAGGAGCGCAGACCAGCCACACATACGTTCCAGCTACTGCATCAAGACAAGGAGAACGCACTCCTACTACCGCTCCTTCGACGCATCCTCCCGGCGACTACCCTGACCCGCCGTCGTCCCACTTCTCCCCGAGCGAGCAGGTACACTCCGCGTCGTCCGCCTCAGGTAGCCACAACCACTACGCTGCATCGAATACGCAGTCGACCTCGCCTCATGGGTATTATCCCAGCGGGCCGGTGCTTGGAAACGCATCGACCGACCCTAACGATCCATACGGGGATCCGAAGCGGCCGCGCGCTTGCGAGGCATGCAGACAGCTCAAAGTTCGATGCGAGCCGGACCCGAGCAATCCGAACGGATCGTGCAAACGGTGTGCCAAAGCTGGGAGGTCGTGTGTCGTGACGGCGCCGACTCGCAAGCGTCAGAAGAAGACAGATAGTCGGGTTGCGGAGCTGGAGAGGAAAATCGATGCGTTGACGGCAAGTCTGCAGGCGTCGCAGGGTCAGGACTTACTCCCGCCAATGAGGCCTGCGGTCGAACCGCGGGAGGAACATCAGGGGAGACGGTGGCTTGGAGGCGGACAGCCTGCGCCGAATGGGCCGACATATTTGAGTCCTCCCGTAGATCTGGCGGGCAGCAAAAGGCATTCCAGCGGGGAGGTCAAGGAACCGAGGGAACCCGCGTCTACAGCAGTGTACCCTCGCGGGCATAGCCCCCTCAAAGAGCAAACGATGGAGAACGCGCCCTCGAGGCAATGGCGTGGTCCGTGGTCGTGCTCAGAGTCTGCTTCCAAAGCGGACGCGGGGACTTCCGAGCCTGTCGATGTAATCGACCGAGGACTCGTCAGCCTCGCGGTAGCTTCGGAGGCTTTCAATAGATTCGTGACTCATATGGCGCCTCAGATGCCATTTGTGGTATTCCCTGCGGGCACGACGATGAGCGATGTACGAAAATCCAAACCGGCGCTCCTGCACGCTATTATCGCGGTCTCTATCGGCGCCATACAGCCCGATGCTCAGCTCGCGTTGCTGGAAGACTTCTACAAGACTGTCGCAGAGCGAATTGTGGTTAAGGGTGAAAAGTCCTTTGACCTGGTGCAGGCTTTGGTAGTCTCCTGCAACTGGTACACTCCACCTGACCATTTTGAGAAGCTGAAATTCTACCAATTGACTCACATGGCAGTCACTTTGGCGATGGATCTTGGGATGAACAGGAAGTTGTTGGTTAGGAACAAGCCTTTACCGATGTTCAAGGATATGGTTATGAAGAAGCCACCTTCAATGAATCTTGATTCCCCGGAGACACGACGGACATGGCTTGGTTGTTATTTCATGGCTGTCCAGTAAGTCTTCCTGTCACGACGGTCATCTTAGTACGCTTGCTGACCTTCTGGCAGAGTTGCTGTTTCTCTAAGGCGTGTCCTGCTCGTCCGGTGGCAGCCATATATGGACGAATGCGTGTCGATTCTGGAAAACTCTCCCGATGCATTGCCTTCAGATAAAGCAGTGATACAGTGGGCGAGACTTGCGCACATGACTGAGGATATCAATTTCCAGTTGTCCTCCGATGATACCGTCTATGTGCCCTTCACAGATCCGAAGGTTCAATACACGGTGAAGGTGTTTGAAAAGCAACTGGAGCAGTGGAAGAGAGAGACTCCAAAGGAAATCTATACTCGTAAGTCCGGTGGCCACGCTGTACATTACCCAGCTTAACTGACCAACGTACAGCTATCATGAAACAGTCAGAGCACATCGTGAATCTTTACATATACGAAAACTCCATGTTGATGGAGACCGGTGACGACCGGAAGAAAGCAGGAGAAGAGTATACCAACGCCGCTTATATGCATGCACTAAGCGTCTGTTTGACATCCATTCATCAAGTGCTAGACACCACTTGTTCCGTTGATATCAAGGACCTGATCTCCTTACCAACCGTCTGCCTCGCAAGAGTATCATTTGCTGCAGTCTCCCTCATCAAGCTATATTCTGTCGTTTCATTCCCCGGGAGCCAAATAGGACAGGTCATTGATCCATCCAGTCTCAAGGTTGAATACTACCTCAACAAAGTGATTGATCACTACGCCGCAGCAGGAGAGCTTCCTGGGGGCCGAACACCGGGCAAATTCTCTGTGGTCCTCGCCATGCTTCGGAGTTGGTTCGTCAAGCGCAAAGACCATAACCGAGCACTGAGAGAAGCATTCGGGGGAGGACCAGTCTCTTGTACCACGATGGATCTCTCAGAGCCCCACGAAGGAGACAAGGCCCAATCGGTACGATTCGCCTCCGTGACCCTCCTGATCCTACGATAACTCGCTATAAGCAGAATATAACTGACATCTCACACAGGGTCAAACCCCCCTTCACCTCCTCAGCGAGGTTGCCAACAGCCGCTCCGCTACAGCCCATCCTTCCTCCCACCACCGGCCAAGTTACGCCTCTCAATCCTCCGCCGAACCCATCACCCAGACACCATCCTCCGATTTGACCGCGCAAACCGTCCCGTCTAGCACTGCTACCGACTCAGACCCTTGGACTCAGTACCCGTCCGTCTCCCTCTCATCCGTGACAACCCAGGCTCAACAGCAAGCCCAATCGCGACAGTTCTACTCACCTTTCAGCTCGAATTACCAGGATATGTCGTCTTACCCTGACGGGGGCAATATGATGATGTCCGCGATGAACCAGGGATTTTTTGTGCCAGAGTTAGGAATGCAGGTTGGGTTCGACTCGGGGAATATGTTTGCGCTAGAGCACCTGCTGACAGATGGGCTGTTGAACCTTCCACTACCGGCTGATGTGGGAATGGGGTATTATTGATATTGAGATTTTACAGCCGTTACTCAAGAGGAAAAGTAATGGAACAGGTTTATAGATATCCCCTGTTCTTGGCTACTGTTTATTCCAGCGTACTGTCGTATATGTATGAAGATCATTTCGGTTCGTTTGTATGTCAGGCCAGCTATATAATATATCCAGGGTATTTTCCTCCCTTACTCTTAGCGGCTAGCGTACAGGGATCTTCAATGATTCACCTCGCTGTCTCCTGTTTTGCGTACTCCGTGGTAGAAGTAATGTTCCGGAACTGGGTTGTTTGAATGGTTCAAGAATAAGTGCAGTTTGCAGCGTGGACACGGTGAAGAACTCCCACATAGGAGCCCCACACAGGAGCGATCTATTTCCCAGAAGAGTTAGGACATGGCTCCACTTAATATGCCGCAATTCTTGTCATCTTATCCTGAAGAGGAAATTATTGCGGCCAGAACACGGTGCATCGAATCGCCGTTGCGGACGGCTTGCGGTGCATTACCGCCTTGGGCGTAGATCATGTGGAGAGTCCCTTGAAGCCTTGCAGGGGGTTACTCCGAGACGGAAAGAGAGTTGGTAGGTTTTAAGATTGTAGGTTGGGCACCGGAAGGGGGGACGCTAATTTGGACGCGTAAGTGAAAACCTGCGCGTTCGGCGGTAGTTCGAGCGGCCTGTTTATGTCGATCAAGTACTGGGTATGAAGATGTGGACGGGAAAACTCCCAGAGACATCGCGTTTCTCGTCAAGTTGCGGTGAACCCCCAGTCGTGGCTCAGTTTTTGCACCTCGAATGCCCACGGCCAACCGTTTTCTGCCTCTGTTTTGCGAAGGAGAGCAAGGAGGCAATTCTGTGCCAGAGGATCGAGGATCCACGAACCGCCTAAAAAGGAATTAGCGGCTCGTTAGGGCCTGGAGATTTTCCCGAACGTTTCCCACTGGGAAGACTTACAGGCACAGAGCGCGTGGCAGGCCATGATGCGTACTGATGGGTCATCGTCGGTTGAGAGGGCAATACCGAAGATAATGCCGAGATTCGTCAGAATATCATCCTGCTGGGTGTCAGCAATTATGCTTAATTAGGCAACCTGTTGAAAACAGACCTTGATCCTCCTCACGATATGCTCTGGTGGGTTGCCAGCATGCATCGTGTGTAGTTCATGCTCCAGTAGTAGAGTCTTTGCCATACAAATATGCTGTATCGCGGTAGCTACGCTCGCGATATAACAGTCAGCTCGGAACCTCGATTTCTCATGAAGCTGACAAGTCTTGAGCTTACCATGTAAAGGTGTCGTATACCATATGACGGGAAACGGCCTGTGATTATGCGGGTCGGCATGCGAGAAATGTAATGGCTGGAAAGTTTCCGGCTTCTCCGACTCCCATATTCGGATTTTTCTTTTCAATGCGACACCATCAACCGTGTCTAAACGTATTTGGTGATTCGCGCCATAGCAATAATTGATTGTCTCAGCTAGAAGCCACGTAGCCCTATGCGTCCAATCTCGTTCGGCTAGGGGATTCTTGCTCTCCCACATTTGGCAAAGGCTTTGTCCAAAGGGGCTGAGCGTCAACCGTAGGGGATTATGGTGCGAAAGTGCAAACTGAATATCCTGCATCAAAAAGACCCAAAACGATGCCTCTGCAAGACCTCCGGAGACTGCACAGTCGACCTGAGAGCTGAAATAAACTGAACCGGCTAGGAGGTGTCGCTGCTGATCGGTGGAGGGAGCGTGAGCTGTAAAGGCGTGCCAATGCATTAGTGATTCGGTTCATGTAATTTCTCGTTTATCCCTCGCACGCACAAGAAATCTGCTCAAAGAAGCGTAATATCACCGTTGAAGCAAGAACAACCTCGATGCTGATGCCGAAGTTTCTGTTCTCTAGCGCGGGAAGAAGGATCGCGATACACCTTTCGTGATATTCATCTGCGACATTCGGGGGTACTGAGTTCTTGGTGTGGGAGAGATGGCGAGCCGCAATCGCCAAGCACGCATAGAGAAGGAGTGGACAGGAGGGTGCCCGTTCCACCACGTCTACCGAGAAATGCGTTTCATGGTCGCTCACGTCCAGCTAGATAACTGTAGTTAGCCAGAGGGCTCACGAAATCGAGAGAATAGGACAGTACCCATGCACCCAAGGAGTTTCGGAAATGTCGTAGAAGGAAGGCTTCATTGAGACTGGCCAATTTCTGACGGCTGACCAGAGCGTCTGGGGGTAGAAGAGAATCGGTCACATTGGGAGTAAATTGTCCTGTAATCCCCGACCAGCGTGGAATACTTGGGGAAGGAGAAGGGTTCACAGCGTTGACGATCGCCGACGAAGCGAATGCTGTACCAGACGAGGATCGACCCTCAGGCACCGCCTCAAGGAAGGATGTTGGCATCCCTACCGGAATAACATGATAATCAGCAGCCGTGCGGTCGGTCTCGTCTTCGAAATCGACTGAATGATTGTAAGACACCCCATCAGTGTCAGTGCTGGCCCATTCCTCGTTTCAAACCTGAGAATCATGCAAGCTTCGGGTTGGACGTACCTTCTGGGGGAGTTTTGACCCAAACCTGGTCGTCAGGAAAAGTCAAGTCACTCTCTCCATAGCGAGGGGGACCCTTTGGCCTCAGAGATGGGTTCTGACCGTGTCGGAAAGTGACCTCCTCCGGTTTTGTTGGTGCTGGAATACACTTCCGCCCTGATCGCTGACAACGCAGACATTCCGTACCAGTTTTATCACCTAAAGTTCGCTGTCAGATATTTGGACCTCTTAGACTAGTCGTGCAGTTCGAGAGTAATAGTGATATTTACATTTCAGATGGCGCTGGCGACAAGTGAGACTTTAAGAGACATCGCACCACGTTAGCGACGGCCAAGATAAAATAGTGCGACTGACAAGCAAAGGCACCAAGAGACAGGATACAAGGAGCATTGACTGACCATCCCCTCATCACGTTGTCCTGAGGATGGTCATCGACAGGCAACTATAACAGCCATGGATGAGATGGAAACATCTACAGGTGTCTGAACCGATCTGTGAGGTGAGAAAGGCGTGGTAAAGAAAGGAAGATTGGAAGGAAAGCAAAATATGCGAGGAAGAAGAGAGAAGCACTAAAACGCGGCTAGAGGCCGGCCACCCTAGCGATAACAAGTGATGATGCTGATGAATGGTCGAATAAAGCCTGAGTGGCCTGTTGGTTTGTGCAAAGCGGATCGTGCGGACCAAGATACTCTGCGGGTCAACGCCGAATGAGAGAGAAAAAATGCAGTGCACAAGGACTTGGCCTAGCGAGTGATACTGATTTAAAGAAACGAGGAAGCATGGCTGTCTTTCATAGATCTGCAAAGGCAGACACAGGGATGTTGTTAGGCCAAGTGACTTCCTACCACATCGTTCCAAGGATCGCAGTAGGAGTGTGTGATGAAGTCCATGAAGAACGTCCAGACTGCTACAGGCCGACGGTCTCCTTCTCCAACTGGAATAGCGACCTACTCAAGCTTCAAGGCCGGATTGGAGCGCTGCAGAGCCGATGGCGTTCTCTCCGACAAGCGCATGGCGATTAACATGACCGCCTCTGATCACTGCCGAAACGAGAAAATCCTCACAAGCCTATTATTAGGGAGGACCCATCCTCCTCAACGGTGCAATTAGGCTCAAAGTAAGCGAAGCAGAGTCTCGGTACTTGTGATGATTCACTTTCCGAGCCTCCGTATGGTTACTCCATCCTTCAACCTTCAGGGGGACCCCTTTGGTCGGCCGAGTAGACTATTCATCCCTGACTCCTCCACAATGAACCTTGGTTGCCATCGACGTAGTATCAGCGGCCCCACTGTCTTCGTGAAATAGAACCTAGTGCCAAATATCCTTTGATCTGGACTCTACCGATGTACATCATTCCCGCTAGTCGTGGGGGTTCACGACTGGATATTGTTCCGGACGGGCACACCTTTAAGGCTAAAACCAGTAAACGGCCCTTTAAGACGAGATGAGTCCAGCTCCTATTCGGCAAAAAATCTGCCTTACTATGCGATAGCTCATTTCATCCGCCAATAAACCGGTGAGATTGATAAAACCCTTCCACGCCAGGTCTACGTTAGGAATGATCGTGTCTTCGTGTGATGGGCTTGACAAACGCACCTCCATCTTTATGACCAGATGTCACGTGACTGAGTACTGATCCCATCCTCGAGTTGTTGTTAAATGCTCCTTCCGACTCACTTCAGGAGAAAAGGCGACTAGGCAAAGAGTCAAGTATAAACTGACTCTGTGACGATTCTGAAACCGGCTCTCCGCCACCAATGTCTCAGATGATCGGGCGAGAGGAAGGAGGAAGTTCGACAGCACCGTGCTGAGTAGCCCGAGCCCCGTGCGTCTTTTGGTTTCATGATTGCGTTTTGTGTTTCGAATCGAGGCTCCATTTCTAGCCAGACTAGAACGGCTAGTCGAATGGGGAACCTCCAATTGTGGCCTTATCAGGCAAGAGAATAATCATAGTTCTCAGGTGATGTTGTGATGTTGACGCTGTGTGATGCTAAAAGCACTGGGGCCTGTAAACAGACATATTTCACATGATACCCACGTGATATTTCCAGTTTTCTATGAGAAAGCATGACCTTTGTTTGGTCCTTGGCTTGGCGCTGTGTACTTTATCATCCCAAACATAGAAGTTGAAGACTTCGCAATCGTTTTCAAGCAGTACCAGACATTTTATCCCTGTTCCTGTGTTGAAAAGCCGTTGGAAGCCTCATAGGCGAGATTTGAGCGGCTACCACTTACATTACAGAAAACAGACTGCTAGCTTCTTCCTGTTGAGGCGACCGTTTGTGACGACGTCCACTTCCATTTGCACCAGAAAATGTAGATAGAAATTACAGATTTATGGGTCTCCGAATATATGGTGATCTCCGGTGAGATTGTCGATCAATTCTGCATTCAGGGTTCGTTCGCGACTGACTTGCCGGGCCAAACTTTCGCGCGGCAGTTGAGTAGCAAAATGAACACTCGGTATCCTTTATGAGGCTAATGAACTTGTTTTGCGTTGCTCTCAGCCTCTCGCCCAGGTAAGCCAGCACGCTGAAGGATAAGTAAGCAAATCTACGACCCAGTGGGCGAAACGGTGATGGATGCGCGTCGCCGGAATTCACACTCTTAGCCTATGGGCCTCCTTTGATGAGGCTTATTATGAGTAACTGCTTCACCAATCGTTGTCCTCAGGATAGGCTGTGTTTGGCTCCATATGTGACTTGGATTTTGATTTTGACATCATAAGCATATCAAGCAGCGAAGCTGAGCAAAGGAGGAATGGCCTCCACAACATCAGCATGCTTCACTGTAGGCTCAGGGACTGATATTGCCGAACGGAATATCCGCTTCGGCCACTTTATCAGAAGGATTAAATGGCCGATTGGACTCTATGTGGCATCATGGTTCGTCAGCGGCTGAATATCTCTGCTACTTCTGATTGAGATCACTTCCAAAAAAGCATGCAGGGTGGTTCTGCCTGAGTTTTATACTTTCAAGAAGGTTGTCTCTTCGAACCAGTCTTGCATTGTCAACGAGAGGTACTCGGAATAGACCAGTATGAAGATTCTCTGCCTCCATCCTTGGTGAGCCTGCCATCTCTGCTACCTTTTCTTATGTGCATTCCGTGCCTGCGACATCGGCTTACGATGAATCGTACTTGATATGGGAACATCTGCGGTGATATTTGAGAAGCAGATATCGAATATCTGCAGTCTGATCGGCGAGACTCACAATTATGTCTTTTTTGACGGTCCTCTGAGATGTGGACCGGCAAAAGGTATGTGTCTGTTGGGGGACGGGGAGAGAGATCAGCACAAGGAAAGACAGAAGAAGATGAAAAGATGAATATAAAATCTCACTGATAGTCTTGAGTAGGACTGCCGGCTATCGAAAAAGGACCCTTCTACAGTTGGTACGAGGGTCTATCCTGTGGCGAAGTCAAGACAGCGAGCGACCTTGTATGGGATATCATCGATGAAGAAGGCCCTTTTGATGGAGTGATTGGCTTCAGCCAGGGTGCTTCGTTGGCTCTGCCCATCCTATACCACCATCAGATCAATCGCCCCCACCAACCGCCACCGTCTTGCTTTGCGGTCTTTCTTTGCTCCGTGCTTTCGATATCCCCTGACCCAAAGTTCGACGCGGATATTTTCGACAAGTACAGCCGATACTACAGGTCATCTGACGAGCCAGGGCTTGAGGGTAACATGGCAAATATCAGCGAAGAGGATGATGCAGTGGAAGAAGAGAAGAACAGCATGATGAAAAAGGTTCCGAAACGCCGCGTCATGCTGCTATTACCGGGCCAGAAAAGAGCATTGGCGAACGACGTGGTTGGTCTCCTTCGTCAGTTGTATGAGAACGCAGCCTGCCACGACGGGACTGCCCAGAAACTATGGAAGCTGAGGGGAGGTGACGAAGGCTTCCCGCGGGTCTACCATCCTCTAGTGAACAAACAGCGCATTTCTATCCCCACCGTGCACGTCATCGGTCGATCAGATCCCCTGCGGCGGCAGAGCGAATTGCAAGCCAGGCTGTGCAACAAGAGCCTGGCTCGAGTAGTGGAGATTTCCGGGGGCCACCGAGTGCCTCGGACCTCGAGCGACCTGCACTCAGTGGCATTTGCAATCGAGTGGGCCATCCGAATGGCTCAGCTGCAGTAAATCCAAGAGTAATGGGGGAAGCTGGACCTTGTTTTTTGCCCTTGCCTTTCTCTAGAAGAAGAAAAATTTATCATCTGAGTATTGTTAGTACCATCTGCACTTCAAATAGCCTAGTCAGTCAATGCTGTTATTTGACCAGTTTGAGATTTTGAGGTTTAACTCTTCCCACGCCTCCTTTGTAAACCGCCTTACCTGTACTTCTGGCTTATGCATGGCCGTCTGACCATTTGCAGGATAGATTCCTGCAGCAAGAAAAGAGTCATCTCGATGGTTAGGACTAATAGTCCGATTACCGTGAACGGAGATACTAGGATGTTCTTCTACATTTCCTTGATTGAGATAGATGCCTGCAAACAGCTTTAATTGTTGTTTCTATCTACGCGAAGTCCAACTCAGCCCTATTCCACCCCCTCAGCTGATTCTCGTTCCTCTCCGAATGAACATAGACCGATCTGGCCTATTAGTTCAGGAAAATGCAGAGATGGCAACGGCATAAACCGCATCCAGCTGAGCAGCTTCCGAGGCAATGGTGGACGCATCTCCTGCCCGTGACCTTCCGCTGCAGCTGCGTCGAGAGGTCATCAGTCAGACCCTGGAGGGTTTCGAGGTCCGACAAGACGACGCTGGTCGCACCGGCGGATCCGAACAAGTTTTCTTCAGATCGTCGTCAGTGATGGAGTTTTAGACACTCGCAGCGTTCAGTCGACCATACCTTGTCGATGATCTTGTCGATGATCTTGTCGAGGAGCGTAACAATGCTCGGCTCAAGGCCTGTTACTGCCTTGGTCACGGTCGTGCTGTCGGGGGCCCCAAACACAGGGGAGGCAGTCAGATCAATGATGGTCTTGTTGAGTGCATCTGACAGAGTCATTTCATCCTGCTGGACGCTCATGGCACCAGTTAAAGTGCCGTTGAAGTTCGCGACTGTCGTGCTGAGCGTTGACAGACGGTCCGAGATGCTGCTCAAGTCCGCAAGAATGGTGGAGGCGTCTCGCAGGGCCAAGAGACTATGCCGAGATGCTAATCCTCCAGCATCATTACAACACCCAGTGGGGGTTGACAATGGGAAAGCCAATCCTGGAACACCCCGATGTCCCAGGAAGGCTTAAATGTTAAATTGACGATGTGGAAAGCGAGCAGCGCTCAGAGTAGGGAGGCTAGACCACTGTTCAGTCGTCTTTTTCTTGGCTTCCATATACTTTGAGAATTGTTCGATCCGAGACACGTACAAGAGACTTCGCTTAACCTTCGCGATCCTGAGATGACCACGATGAGCAACAAGCTGGAGCCCCTTGCAATTGTTGGCATGAGCTGGCGGTTCCCTGGCGAGGCGAACTCAGCCAGTGGCTTTTGGGATATCCTTAGCAATGCGAGATCGGCTAAATCTCGCATCCCAGCAGATTGCTTCAACGTCGACGCGCACTATCATCCATCGGCCGATCGGAATGGATCAGTAAGCGTCTTCGATATTCTGTGGCGACTAGAACGCTGAAAGTCTCCGCAGATCATCACTAAGGAAGGACACTTCCTGAAAGAGGACATTACCGCCTTCGGTGCGCCCTTCTTCTTAATGACAGCAGCGGAGGCAGAGGGCATGGACCCTCAACATCGCATTCTTCTAGAGGTCACTTATGAGGCGTTTGAGAACGGTGGGTTGCACCGAAGCCTGGACAAAGTATGTCGGGCACGCTGACAGGACCCAACCGGGATGCCGATCAAATCCGTGGCCGGCAGTCAAACCGCAGTGTGAGTCAACAGAACGATGGCCATGTCCAGAAAGCTTACTGGTTGTAGCATGGTTGGCTGCTTTACCAGAGACTACGAGATGACTTCCGGAGCCGAAATCCACACCATGTCCCCGTACGCGTCAACCGGTTGTGGTGCCTCCATGCTGGCGAACGGACTATCGTGATTCTATGATTTGCAAGGCCCGTGACTTCGTCACCGTCCATGCAAATGTACGTTTGGGAACTCGGAATCCGGCTCGTCTTCTACTCACACAAGACTCTATTACAGCCACCGTTGAGATAACGCAGTCTGGTTCTAACAAGCTAGATCCCTGGCGTAACGCCTCTCTTAAAAGCTCCGATCCGTCGGCAGGGGTGCGGCAGTTCCACAGTCTGACCACTTATGACAGATGCCAACATACTCAAACTTGTAAAACCACCATATTCGCAAAGTTTAATCAATTTACTGATGGAACGGGCGTTCTAAACTGAACAGGTCGACCCTGAGACCCTGGAGCCGATAGGGGTCACTCGCCAGGACGCTCTGCAGCCCGAGTTGCGAGGTCCCCTTTCATGTGCTCATGCCGCCCTCGACCCTACAACTGGAGATTTGTTCAACTATAACCTCGACCTGGGTTGGTACGCAAACCTACAGAGTTTTTCGAACCTCGGCTGCCACCGGCTAGACGGATATCCTTGCAACTATTTCGGGGCCAATTGTCAAACCGGCTTACCTCCACTCCTTCTTTCTCAGCCCCGACCATGTGATTCTGTGCATCTGGCCCTGTATCTTTGCGGCAGCTGGCGTCAAGATCCTGTGGGGAGAAACATGGTGGATGCTACGATTCGACTCCAACATTGAGACGCGCTGGTATGTCGTGGACCGAAAACAAAACAGAGGGGTCGTGGCCATGCTTTTGAGCCCAGCCTTTTTCAGCTTCCATACTATCAATGCTTGGCAGACCGACAACGGCGACGGAACGGTGGACATCATGTGTGATATCATTCAATATCCGACCGACGAAATGATACGGCGAGGATACTATGAATCAATGGTCTCCACCGGTAGTGACGTGGAGAAATACTTTGGCAGTGAAGCATCGCGTCCCAGTTTGGTCCGCTATCGCCTGCCCAGCGTGCGCAAGGACTCCCGGGTCGAGTTGCCTACCAACGATGCGAAAATATCCCAAGCAGACATACTGCTAATAATTGAAGGCGAAGGTGTTGGAGACCTGCCCACCATCAACCCTTGTTTTGCCTGCAAGAACACGCGATATGTGTACAACGTCGTCAACCAGGGAAAGGTAAGCTACTTTATTCCTTGATGGACTGTAGATGTCATTAAGGGCTAAGCATCGGATCTTTCCAGTCGTCTTTTTTTGACGGCATCGCCAAAGTTGACCTGGAAACGCAAAAGGTCCTAATCTGGAGCCATGACCACCATACTCCTGGCGAAGCTGTCTTTGTGCCGGACGGTACGAATGCTGCTGAAGATGCTGGATACCTGTTCAGCATTATTCTTAATGGTGACACAGGCACAAGCTACCTTCTGTGCCTCAATGCGCGTGACATGACGGAAGTAAGACGCGCTGATTGTGCTGCAGCAGTGGGCTTTGGTTTTCATGGCACACATTATCCTTTGCAATTGTCCTCAAGATAGTTGTCGATACTTGGCTGAGATCGCTGAGGGTGCGATAAGGGACATGATATATCTTTTGATGGGGGGCCCACCGACCCACTGAGGAGATATCCGGCTTCGGACCAAGATTTCAATGACTGGTGAGAGGACATTACTATGTTGCGATAACCATGGTAGAAAGCAGATGCAGCTGTAGCGGGGGAAACAGAGGGCGGAATCAGGTGACCCTGTCCTGTTTACCTCCGACGTCACTAGATCCCTCCTGTTAGTTACTTACTGGACTGCGGGAGCTGCCAAGTACTCATCGTCATCCATCACAATAATTCAGTCTCATATATTATTATTGTCAGAGCCTCAGAGGCCACCTTAGTCTTGGAAGCAACATAAATATAAGCCATCTCTCCCAGGCCGGCAATGCTTAGGAATCTATCCTCAATCTCACCTTGATTTGCTCTCCAAACTAGTTACTGATCTACACTGCAGCCAGCCCATTTCAAGTTTTGGACCGGCAACAATCAAGGTTACAGTTCTGCAGGTATGCATTAATGCATTAAATCAAAACCAGCCAATTTAATCAAGGGCAACGGTATGCCATCTCCAACCTAAGCTCAGCTTTTTCTTTTCAGCTTCTCATCTGCAATGTATAGCTATGTCTCTAAATCGAGTCTCTTACCTTGAGTCGTGGGGCCAAACTCGGCCTGTATCGCGTCAGCAACAGCAACAAGGCCAAGAGGATGGCGATTCTGACTCCGTGGACGGGCGCAATGTCGACCTTCCGGAGGGATCGATTTCGTCCTCCTTCCAGTCAACGTACACTTATCGTTTAAATTTCAATCCGTATGCTGGGCCCGGTTGGACCCAGCCCCCTGATGAGGTTGCCCCTGAAGACCTCGTGTCTGGTCCTGAAACTCCTACGATAAAAACCCAGCCGAAACCGCTGGACGAGAGTGACCGTGGAAGATATGATCTACAAGATGCCTCTTTAAAATTGCCGGATGAAGATTATCCATTGCAGACCACTGGAGCGTTCGAAGTCAGTAGTACACGACGAATTTGTATGAACCCGGTTGAACCTTGTTTGTTCACGATCCGAGAGATACTAATGAGATACTTAGGCCAGGTAATTATTGCGGTCATCTATTGCTTCCTCGCAGCAGGTGTTGTGTTCGGATTTGCGGCATTGAAACCCGTCTTGATTCGGGAAGGGGTCTATCGCAATCTGTGTTCGCGCGACGAGCTCTCTAAAAACAGGGGAGTCTGCTACGGACAGGAGCTGCGGTACGCACCATGATCTCTGTCTCTTGACCAAGCTGACACGACACAGCCTGAATCTCATGTTCACAATCGCCGCCGTGGCGACCAATGTATGCGCCCTGCCAGTTGGCACTATCCTAGATAAATACGGTCCTCGCGTCTGTGGTATCATTGGCAGCATATGTCTGACTTTCGGCGCCTTACTACTCAGTTTCGCTGCCAATCTCCCCTTTGATGCATATATTCCTGGATACCTCTTCCTATCGCTCGGGGGTCCCTTCATCTTTATCTCGTCATTCCAGCTGTCCAACACATTCCCCACTCGCTCTGGGATGATCCTATCCATGCTCACAGGTGCATTTGATGCGTCCAGCGCCTTGTTTTTAATCTTCCGACTCACCAACGAGCGTACCAATGGATCATTTACAACCCACAGATTCTTCATGGTTTATCTGATCGTTCCCGCCTTCATCCTCGCCGCGCAACTTCTCATCATGCCAGCCACATCCTACAAAACGGCCGGCGAGCTAGTCCAACAAGCAGAAGCGTACATCGCCGACGAAGCCAACGACCGCGTCGACGAGCGCATCAGCAATCGTTCTGAAGGCGAGCGTCAGCGCAACGACCGCCGCGTGCACCGCCAAGATGTCGTCAGCCAGATCCAAGATCTCCTAGGCGACAGCAGCATCAATGACGTCCCAGGTCTCGACGAGTTCTCTCGAACCACTCTTCCTCCTCCGGATGAAGCGCAAGACCGCATCGTCGGCAAAACCCCACCCCGCAACACCACCGCCGGCGCCGTCTGGGGCGCTCTCCACGGCCGCTCCGCTCTCCAACAAATCGCCACCCCCTGGTTCGTCCTCATCATGCTCTTCACGGTCCTCCAGATGCTCCGCATCAACTACTTCGTCGCCTCCATCCGCGCCCAATACGACTACCTCCTCTCCCCAGCGCTCTCCGAACAGCTAAACAGCGTCTTCGACTTCCTCCTCCCCCTCGGCGGCCTCCTCTCCGTCCCCTTCATCGGCACCATCCTCGACACCCTGAAAACCCAACACGTCCTCCTCATCCTCGCCTCCACCGCCACCGTCATCGGCATCCTCGGCTGCATCCCCCACAACCTCCCCGCCGGCTACGCCAACATCGCCCTCTTCGTCATCTACCGGCCCTTCTACTACACCGCCGTCTCCGACTACGCCGCCAAGGTCTTCGGCTTCCAGACCTTCGGCAAGGTCTACGGGCTGATCATCTGTCTAGCGGGACTAGGCAATTTCCTCCAGGCGGGCCTCGACGCCCTGACGTTTAAGCTTTTCGCCCGGGATCCCGTCCCGGTGAATCTCGTGCTTACGGCCTCGACTGGCGTGATTGGCGGCGCGCTGGTGGCGTTCGTCTGGTGGCAGGCCAAGCGGATGGATGCCTCGCGCGCGCAGGGTATAGCCGGTAAGGGCGTGGTCGTGGATGTGGACGATGGCCGGACAGAGCGCACAATGGTACAGAGTGAGCAGGTGAGTCGAACCCGGTCAGATGCGGTGGATTACGCTGGCGTGGCAGCTAGAGATTGGGAGCGGGAGCGAGAGCGAGAACCATTGCTGCGTCGCGGCCCGCAGCATTTGGGGGCACATGGGGAGGCGTCGTCGTATGGGATTTCGAGCGGACCGTGATCCATCTATCCTACCCCTTTCATATTTGGACATTTGCTTTACTTACTGGCTGCTGCTGTGCTGTTGCTGCTGCTGCTACTGATGATGACGATACGTTACGATTTTGTATAGCTTGGTGTATCTGTATATTACCATGTCCATATAGAATACATCCATCCGTCTGTCTTGAGCTGCGCCAAAGTCATGTCATGGCCATCGTTATCATATCCAACTCCGTAGCCCGTAGACCAATCCCAATCCAAGAAAGCTGAACGCCATGCACGAAACACAACGCCAAAAAAGACAATAATATCCCGTCACAAACGCCCCGCGACTTCCAGCCAGAGGGAATACCCCGCCAGGTCACACGCAGTATCATACCAGAGCATGAACTCCAGTACGCTCTTCAGCTCCGACCAGGAGTAAATCCCATTACTGGAAGCCGCTTGGGCGAGGGTATGTACGAACCAGGCCCGTTCTGGGCGGTTCTCGGCCGCGATGCCGCCGAGGGTGAGGGCCCAGAGGAGAGCGACTTGGGCGTCCGGGTGGGTCCAGAGGGGGGTTGCGTCGGGGGTCTGCTGTAGGGTTTCTTGGAGGAGGTTTGCGAGACGGGGGAGAGGCGAGCATTGGGATGGGAGGGGGAAGGTGACGCCGACGGCG